GTTCTACCAGCTTAGTAGTCAGTTAGTAAATTAAAAAGAGATTTATTTAAATGCTTGGGAAAAGTGTGTCTTTCTTTCTGAAGGCTCTCTGTGCATATGAGGGCACAACTTCAGCCCTCAGCCATTCAGTTTGCAACTCTGCAAACTTCATTTCCAGTTGTGCAGAGACTCAAGGTGAGTCAGAGGTGAGCACTTAGAGCCTTCTCAGAACTTTTCTGGGGATATATAGAATCTCAGACGTGCACAGAAACCTAGACATGCACATGGCCTTCTATACCTCAGGGGCATGTCAAAAATGTCCAAAGCTCATAGAAATATTTTATTCCTAGGTTTTTCCCTTTTAGCTTTTTGGTTGATCTCTTCTTTTCCCTAACAGCTACTACCTCAGGCAGCTAAAAAGTTAATTGCCCATAATTGCTTTTGATAATCACCCATGGAACAAAGCTATTCACACTGGGCGCACTCTGGATCACATCCCATTTAGACAGTCTTGCTAGAGATAGTGGTACCCCTTAGGATCTTCAGGGGCACCACCAGACAGGTCAAATACTAACTATTTTCTGAAAAATAAATTTTGAAGAGTTCGAGCCCCAGTCTGTTCCATCTGACTGCCACCAGGTTACTGAGTTTCACTGCAAAAAAAGACTGTTATTTTTTAATGCAACTGCAGAGCTGGAGAGTAGGGAATGGGATTAGGGCAAATCACAATGCTACAAACTCACTTATCTTACCAAAATTCAACCATTGTTTTTAATAAAGTCTCCCTGTATTGATGCAAGTTTTTGTTTAATATGTAAAGTTCTGAAAAAGTTGATTCTGCCAATGTTTTGCCAGTTTTCTCATTGCTTTAATAGAAGAGAACAATTTCAGGGGCCTTTACTCTGCCATTTTTACAGACATCAGCACTCTACTGTTTACTAATGTTTTGGTGGCAGGCATGAATGCCAAGACATTCAATAGTAAAACACGAAGGAAATGCGCCATATTTAGGAAATTGTTTTTGAATCAGACCCAGTGTGAAAGCCAATTTAGTTTCTTAAGAGTTATATGAACTTAGGCCATAATCTAAACTTTAGTCTCCTCACATCTTTGAAGGAGAAATAACACTATCTTACATTTTTATTGAGTATCTTGTAGTACAAATAGGTTCTTTACTTAGTTTGGCACATGGCAGCAATGCAATGAACATTATTTATCTTCCTTCACCATTAACTACTCACTTTTTGGTACAAGAAAAATGTACAGGCAGAGTGGAAATCAGATACTCTATCTTCAGTCAGTTGCGTGGGTGCTCAGGTGGTCATGGTAGTGCTGAGCAAGGGACGTCTGACTTCAGTGGGAATACACAGGCTAATACCCAGATGACCCTCGTATCTTTTCTCATAAGGGTAATATTATTTCAGATCTTTAACTATTTCCTTTTATCCCTATATTCAATTAGTTGTCAATTCTCATCATATTTTTACAAATTATTTTGTTACTTCACTTATACTATATATGCCTTTTGCTGAAGCAGCATCCTCCCTGCTCCCTACACCAACTCTGTCAGAATTCATTCATTTCTTCTTTTGTTGACATTGGGATCATTCTAAAATCCAAATCTTTCTTGTTTATGTTCTTCATAACATACACATTACCCTATGTTTAAAACCTAAGTATTGATCCAGGCATGTGTCATCTTTCAGGTATTAGTCTGAACCCATCTCTCTACTTCTCTGACTCACGGACTTCTGGGCTGGAATCCTAATCCTTTCTCCAACCCTTTGAACAGTAAAAGGAGAAGTATATCTATTTTAGCTGGTGTCATTCAGGAGGCCATGAGCTACTCAAAGTCATGTTCATCAGCCACCTGGTCCCTTTATGTCTTCTTTCTTATTTTCCATTCACTCCTAAATGAACTGCATTTCAGTATTATCACTTCATAAAACCATGCCTCCACTGTCACTACTAAGCACAGTATTTCTAAATGCAAAGGATTCTCAGTCCAGAGATTGATGCAGTTGGCTATTTATTTATTGATCGTTTTCCCTTTCTCAGATCAGTAATGTTATACTTTCCCAGTCCTCCATCTCTATCTCCGTGTCTATCTTTCTTCAGTTTTCTTTGTAATTGACTGTCCTTCTTTTCTATCCTAAATATTAATATTCTCCACAGCTCTTTCTAAGACAGCTTCAATGTTGAATCTATATAACCTTCCCAGATGGTCTTGGATAAAAGCAGATTCCCACTACCTCTGACACACTGATTACTCTCAAATCTATATCTTTTTTATTTCTTCATTTATTTTTTATTTATTTGAGACAGGATCTTGCCCTGTCACCCAGACTGGAATGCAGTGACATAGCTCACTGCAGCTTCACATGAACTCTTAGTCTCAAGCGATCCTCCTATCCAAGCCTCCCAAGTAGCTTGGCCTACAGTAACATACCAACATTCCTGGCTCAAATCTATATCTTTAGTTCTAATTTCTTTACTTTTCACAGTTAACTGTTTGGCATCTATAATTGGTTATTTCAAGGTAACTTTAAAATCAAAATATCCAAAACAATATGAAGGTATCTCAAAATGATACAAGTAAATCTACCATTTGATCCAGCAACCCCATTACTGGGCATCTACCCAAAAAAACAAATGACACTCTATAAAAAAGACGTCTGCACTTGAATGTTTATAGCACCACAATTCACAATTGCAAAGATGTGGAAACAACCCAAGTGCCCATCAATACATGAGTGGATTAAGAAAATGTGGTATAGGTATGCCATGGAGTCCTATTCCGCTCTAAGAAACAATGGTGTTATAGCACCTCTTGTATTTTCCTGGATAGAGCTGGAACCCATTCTACTAAGTGAAGTATTCCATGAATGGAAAAATAAGCACCACATGTACTCACTATCAAATTGGTTTTAAATGATCAACACATAAGTGGACATATAGGAATAACTTTCGTTGGGCATCGGGCAGATGGGAGGGAAGAGGAGGGGATGGGAATATACACACATAATGAGTGCAATATGCACCATCTGTGGGATGGACAAGCTTGAAGCTCTGTCTTGGGGGAGGGAGCAGGAGGGCAAAGGCAATATATGTAACCTAAACATTTGTACCCCATAATATGCTGAAATAAAAAAAAGAAAAATAAATAAATAAATAAATAAACTAAAAAATCTGTATATCCAGAACACAAATGGAAAAATATTATTTCTAGTTTCCTTTTCTCAATGAAGGCATGATTTCTATAGTTCGCTAAACCAAAAATTTGAGTTTCATTCTGCACATATTTCTCTGATTAATAACCTGAATCCATTTAAGTAGTCACCAAATTCTAAACATTCTACATACTGAGTGTAAGTAGTGTAGAGAGTTCCAGGAAGGCAATGAATGTTTGAAAAGGTTGTTATGGGGGGAAATAGAGGAAATTAAGTAGATCAAAGGGAATTATGCCTGAGTAAGTTAAGGTTAGATGTCATAGGTTTACATTATGTTAATATTATCTGCTATAGACTAAATTGTGCCCACCACCCCCTATATGATTATTTGGCAATAGGGTCTTTGGAAGGTAATTTAAGTTAAATGAGGTCATAATCGTAAGACTCTGACTTGATAAGATTGGTGTCCTTGTATGAAGAGACAACAGAGAGCTCGTTCCCCACTCTCCAATAACGGCAAGGCCAAGTGAGGACAAAATCGCCTTCCACAAGCCATAAAGAGAGTCCTAGTCAGAAAGCTTACCCCTCCTGATCTTGATTTGGGACTTAGCCTCCAGAACTGTGAAAAATAAATTTCTGCTGTTTTTAGCCACCCCGCTGTGACATTCTGTTACAACAGTGCTAGCAAACTAGTGTAGTATTCAATAGTACCACTGAGAGGAGTATAGAAGCTGGATGGTAAGATTTACTTAGGTTAGGAATGAAAGAGCTACTGTGAAGGAAGAACAAAGCCTAAGCTACCAGATAAATCATCTCTGGTAGATAAAGATCAGTATTTTTATGATTCTGGCTTTCTTTGTTAAAATTATGATTACAAATGTAGTTGTAAAAATTCTATGATCTTAAATCAATCATTTATAGTTTATGAATCTTAATTTTCTCATCTATCACATTGCCCCCTTAGGTAAAAATCAATTTCTGATGTAGAGCAAGCCTATTTAATGATTGACAAAATCACAATATACCTTCCTAGGGCTTATTTGCACTGTCTTTTATGAATTTATCTTAAGAACACATATGGTTTTACACCAGAGTATTTTGGCAGTGTTTGAAAGCTTTGGATTTAAATATATTATAAAGTAGACAAGGCAGTGGAAGTGACTGTCTCTCTCATCCCTGGTATAATGTTAAAAAAAAATGAAATCAATTAAAGAGGAATTTTATGAGAGAAAAGTAACGAAAGATTGAAACAGTAAAGACTGCTTTTTCAGTATTTAACTGAAGTTCATTTTGCAGTTGCAATAAACTACCTATCATTAGAATATGCTGTTACTAGAAAGAAAAATACCTTAAAACTGCTGAAGTTTGAGTTAGTAATTGTAACTATAGTTGAAATGTTTTAAAAGACTACCATATTTTCCAAAATTCACTAGATGACTTTTAAGGGAAAAAAAAAATCATCTCATATGCACATGTGTATGTTTGTTTTTCAGAGAAGATGTACATTAAAAACCATATACGTTATTCAATTAAAAATTATTTTTATCAAGTGATCATGAAACATTTTCTAATTATATTCATTTCTATTATTATTTATTGTTATAAAATGTGTCCTATTACCTTAGCAATATGTAATTTTCTCACATTAAAAATGGAAAATTGCATTGTGATATCTAACAAAATGGATTGATTTGTTTCTGAATTTTTTATGTAATTCATATTTACTTGGTACCAAAATGTCATACAAGTTGTAATACATACACGTATGTGAAAAGATTATTATGTGTAATGTCAAGCTATTGCCTCTCTGTTCTAAAAACAACTTTCTATGCTTTCCCTTATGCTGCCTAGGCTGGGACTACATTTTTCCTCTGTCAGATACCTGCCTGTCAGCCTCTGCCAGTAAGGAGTAAGCATTAGAGACAAATTGTAAAGCTGGAAGAGGGATGAGAGATTTGCTTTTCCTATTCACATTTTATTTCTGTGAGTGTTACATAAGAAACTGTATTTTCCTTGGCAAGAGAAGTTTATTCAAATAGAAGCAATTGATTCCAGTTTGCATTTTTTATTTGCCCCTTACTTTTAACCAACCTCACCATGTCCCACCAACATATGATGTGGCTGAGACATTTCCCCAAAGGTCTGGGTCGTGGCTGTGTGACTACCTTCCCTTTAGTTTCAGATAATCAGAACCTCCTCTCTTAGGACCGTTGCCAATCACAACAGTTACTCTCAATTACAGTGTAACCCCTACGTTGCATCAACAAATGTCTCTCCATTCCCAACTAAGTTACTTGCATAAGTAAGTGTTTTCAGAGCTTACTTTTTTATAAGTAAAATTAAAAATAACTGAATGTAAAACCTGTCTCATTCCATCAATATTGGCTTCCAGAGACATGAAATAATTTAAGAGAAAAAAAGAAAGTTCTATTCATCTCATTAAGAAATATATTTCCCCCAAAATTAGGTCTGTTTAACAATCTATAAAACTTAAAGTTTTTAGTATTTTTATTAGTATCCTTACAATAATTGAAATAATAAAACAATTTAATATTTGGAGCCCATTATTATAGGAATAAAAAAATCCATTTTATATGCACATTATTATAAGTAAGAGTGATCATAATGAGGTATTTAAACAAAAATAAGTGTATGGAATAATTGGACTTACTTTTAAAAGACAAAGCAAAAATATCACATTTCTGACAGCTAAGAAAAACTTATTCACATATTTTTAAGTGAATAATGGTGAGTTGGCAATTTCTAGGAAATAAAGATTCCATAGGATACATTTAAAATAGTGATGAGAGTTTTATTTTAAAGTGTCAATATTCAAAATATACTAGAAATTATATCCTATTCTACTAATTCAAGTTTTAATGATAATTTTTAGATGCCAACTTAAATTTTTTAAAACTCCTTTAGGGAAATACCCATATAAATTTTTTGAAGCCCACTGTTTTAAAATTAATTTGTGAGAAGAATGGTGTTTACAAGGGAAGAGAGTTCAATAAGCTGAAGTCAAGAGGAAGAAATTAATTAATCCTGGGAAGGTGCTCATTTGGAAGTGACCCTAGCTGCAAAGACTTGCTGAATGGCTAATGTTATAGGACATGAGTGGATCTGGCTAGAGCGTGGATGGGATTCCCTAATAGGACTGGCTTTGTAGGCATACAACACAGGAAAGTGCAGTGGGCTATGCTCAGAGGGGACCTATGTCTTGCTTAATACTCTGTTATCATTGTCATGAAATAATTAACACTTTTATTTTTGAATGTGTGTTTTGTAAGTACATTCTGATGAAACAATGGTATCTGTATGTGTATGTGTCCAAAACCATTGTTTGCTGCACCTTTCACAAAGATATTTCACAACACCCATGAGAATTATGGTGGACCCAAAATTCTGGTAGAGTTAAAGGAGGCTTACAGAAGTAAAGAGATGGGGAGGAATTAAAAAGATAGTGAAAGAGAAGGGGAGAGAAAAAAGAGACAAGGAAGGAAGAGAAAAAACAAGAGATAATAATAGAGGTTAAAACATATAGATGAGATGTATAATTTCCACTTTCTTTAAAATGTCACTGGAAAATTTCCCTTGCTCATTTCTTTCTTATTTATCAACTGCACTTTTTCTTTCCCTCAAAATATTCACTACAGATCAAATCCCTAGAGGAGGCCCTCTGGGTTTGCACGTCACAGCACTTACAGACTACAGAGAGTGTCAATAAATAACCTTCACTTCCCAATCTCCTGGACCAGAAGAGGCTGGAATACACAGCTCAATAGAAGACCTTCAATGAGCCCAGAAAACTGACAAAGGATCAGATATTGCAACAGGAATTATATATTTAGGCACAACATACTCACATACTACACCCTCCTGAACCTGTAGAGAAACACAGCTTTCACATCCTTAAACAAACCTGTGTATTCACATACACAGCTCCTGCCCAAACCGTTGCACCCCCACACTCTCTCCGACACAGCTGCACACTCACACAACACACCTGCACTCAGAGCTCCAGCTTCAGTGTGCTCCGACTGCAGATGCATGCAGGTAAGTTCTGGAAATCATATTCCCCAACAACTATGTTCAGTGTTAATGTATTCATGTTTAGATCTGAAACGGGGACCTCAAGCACTTAGCCATCTTGGCGACCCAGAGAAAAGACCCAGAGATGACTTTGGGAGGATGCCTCCATTCCCATTTTGAACCAAATCTGTGCTCCAGCTCAACATCCGTTTCTCATGCTTTCCCAGAGGGAAACAGTAAACAAAGCCTGCTCTTACCCCAATCTTTCTGGTCCTCACATCCACAGATGCTCACAGAGTAGCACTTTATCTTACCACAACCACTTAAAATCTTCCTTAGGGAGCAAGAATAGACCAGAAAGAGAGGGGAAAAGAAGGTGGCAGTGACTCCAGCTCTCCAAACTCCATTGTGCAAGCTGCTCTCCCCTAGGATCACAGGCCAGTGTCAAGGCTGAGCCCAAAACCTTCTAGCATCATTGCTGGAAGTCTCAATGCACAGAGAAGGGAAGGTTCCCAATTCTCATTACTTCTTTGAAGCTCAGATAATGAGTGAAGTTATGACAGCACTAGGAATTGATACTAGACAAAATGCCTTGTTTGGAAGAGAGAGAAATTCAAGTATCAGACGTATTAATAGAAGAATGGAGTGAAAACAAACTCCGAATCAGGAGACATGAGACCTAATTTCAATTCTGCAAATACCATCCTTTTTGAACTAAATTATATTGGTTTATGTCTCTGGACTTGGCCTTCTTATTGGTTAGGGGTGTGAATGATAATTTTACTGTTTTCTTCACAGTGTATTTGTTAAGAAACAAATATCTTATTTATAAAAAGAAGGAGAGGAGAATAACTTTGAATATCAAAATTTTTAATCCCATGAATCAATCAACTACAAAATCTTGTGAAGTTAGGTCAGATGATGTCATTCCCAATTTAGAGATAAAAACTGAGGCACAAAAAGATTTTTGGATTTTCTTCCAAAGCCGCATAGTGATTAGATTAGAAAAGCAGAGAATGACTACAGTTGTCCTTTCTACATTGAGACTGTCCAGAGAAGTGAGAGTTTTGTTCACATCAATCTTGCTACAGAATCAGGACTAAAATTAAGGCTTCCTGGCATTCCTATTCAGGATGCTTTTAAGAATATATGCTACTAACAGTGTGTATAATAGTAGCTATCCCTGTCCAGCAAAAAAATGATTCCCTTTCAAGGATGACTTCATGGGTGGCAACTCTAGGATACTCTACTCTCTCCTTTTATCTGCCTCTGTCAGCACTTACCATTCAGACCTGACCTCACATCCAGCCATGATACTGGTTCAACTATGAGCTGGCTTTGCCATAGTTGAGACTGCTGTCTCCCAACAAGCATATTAGATTTATCTCATGGTTTATTGTATTATACCAATATAAATGCCCAAATTACTCTGATATTCCATAATAAGGGATGTAAGCATATTCAGGTTACTTAGCTTCTTTCTAGGAACTTTATATATAGAGAAGCTATTTGGTGTATATTTGGAAACATACATTACAAACACTCTGAAGGAAGTAGTAACAACATCATCAAATCATGAGGTCACAAAAGTCAACAGTATGTTACTAAGAATTATCAGGATTGAGCTTTTAGTGAACATTTTTACAAATGTCTAGGTACAGACACAGTCACGGGCAGTACAGAGGTTATAATTCCCTAGCACAATAGGATTTTGTAAGATAATGGAAGAATGAAAAAAAAAAAAAAAAAAGTAAAGATCTCTAAGGACCAGTAAAGAAAGGGAAGGCTTCTGAGAGGCAGAAAAACTTGCCCTAAAATTTATAAAAAGACAATAGACAAGGTGAAAATAAAGAAAGAAGCCTCCTTAGACATGGGAAAAGACATAAATGAAAAGGACACAAGCAATTCCCCTAGACATCGGTGGATGAAAGCTCAATAAATGATGTGCACAAGTGGTGGAAGATTAAATCTGTAAGGGTCAGTTCAGGCAGATAAATAAATGCTTAGGTTGGTGTTTTAAATAAAGAAGCAGACATCATGGTTGAATATAAAAATTAGCATAACTTTTAAAAAATTGATCAAATGTGTCTTTTCAGATCCTTGAATAAGTGAAAAATAATATTTTTTCTGTCTAAAAAAATTATTTCACAGAAAACTGATCATTGTATGTAAATCAACCAATATCTGATGCTACGAGGCTGACATACCATCACCGCTTGGATACAGCCCTTGTTTGCCTACAAGGATGTCAGTTTCCAACACCAGCGACAACAGTCTCCCAACCACTCTCTTCCTGACTGGGATCCCAGGGCTGGAGTCTGCCCACTTCTGGATTGCCATCCCTTTCTGTGCCATGTATCTTGTAGCACTGGCTGGTAATTCTGCCCTCATCCTGGTTATTGCAATGAATAATGCCCTTCATGCACCCATGTACCTCTTCCTTTGTCTTCTCTCACTCACCGACTTGGCTCTCAGTTCTACCACTGTGCCCAAAATGCTGGCCATTTTGTGGTTCCATGCTGGTGAGATTTCCTTTGCTGGATGCCTTGCCCAGATGTTTTGTATTCATTCTGTCTATACTCTGGAGTCCTTAATTCTTCTTGCCATGGCCTTTGATCGATACGTGGCTATCTGCAACCCACTGAGATACTCAGTCATTCTCAACCATACTGTCATAGGCAAAATTGGTCTTGTTGGCATATTCCGTAGTGTGGCTATTGTCTCTCCCTTCATCTTCTTGCTGAGGCGACTGCCCTACTGCGGTCACCATGTCATGGCACACACATACTGTGAGCACATGGGCATTGCTCGCCTGGCCTGTGCCGACATCACTGTCAATATTGTCTATGGGCTGACTGTGGCTCTGCTGGCCATGGGTCTGGATTCCATCCTCATTGCCATCTCCTACGGCTTTATTCTCCATGCAGTCTTTTGTCTCCCAACTCGGGATGCCCAGCACAAGGCTTTGAGTACCTGTGGCTCCCACCTCGGTGTCATTCTGGTGTTCTACATCCCTGCCTTCTTCTCATTCCTCACCCATCGCTTTGGCCACCACCGAGTCCCCAAGCATGTGCACATCTTTCTGGCTAATCTCTATGTTCTGGTGCCTCCTGTACTCAATCCTATTATCTATGGAGTTAGAACCAGGGAGATTCGCAGTCGATTTCTAAGACTACTTCACTTGGGGAAGATCTCAATATGAGTTCTGAACAGAAGTTGGATATAAGAAAAATAAACTGGTAGAATAGATGTCTAGATGCATTTACATGTACAGACACCTATGATATAAAAATAATGGCTGTGTATGGTAGGAAGTACTGAGTGGAAGAGAATTAGCCAGTGTATCAGAGATACCAGTGATCACACTGAACATGCCATTTTCCTGAGGCTCCTCCACAATCCGTGATTAGTCCAGAAAGGTGATAATATTTTCACATTTGTCTCAAAAGTGGCTATAACTTACTAAGTAGCAAGTCAATTCCTGGTCTTGAGGTTAGCCTGGGTTTTATGGTAGGAATATTCTCCTGTGAGTCCAAGTAGAAAAGGAAAAGAACATTTGGAACATATTGGAATGTGAATTTTCCTGGGTATTGGTTAATAGCACAAAGTATAAATTCAGAGTGCCTAAGTTTGAGTCCTGGCTCTACCACTTACTAGTTTTATGAACTTGAACATGTTGCTAAATGTTTCTGTGCCTTAGTTTGGCCTACTGTTAAATGAAGATAATAATATCTAACTCAATGTTGTAGCAAGGAATGAATGTTAGACAACTTAAGGCAGTGATTGACATGTAACTGCTCAATAAATAAATATAAAATAAGTAATATTATGTAACCTATTTAAACATTATTAGTTATTTAGCCTAAAATTTATTTTTCACATTTTCTCATTGCACAGAGTTATTGTGATAACTACAATATATAACTACTCTATAATATTTAGACAGTGTTTGAGATATGGTTAGTGCTTAATAAAATTGTATTCCTCCCATTTCTCTTCCTATTCTCCATTTTGAGATTGCTTTCCTTTTAGCCATAAAGTTATCCCTTATTAAAGTTTCAGAGGAGCCAGCTCATAATTAATGCTTTAGTAATTTTGGTTTTAAAATAAATAATTCTACTCATATTTTTCCATATTCAAAGAAATAGTTATTGTTATTTGTATTTTAAACTAAGTGCCTATGATTCAGTGAGGTTAATAGCCTATGGTTATGCCTTTATAGACGGTATCTCTTACACTATTTGACATTTTGTAATGGAAAGAGTATGAGATCTGGATCCAACTGACCATGGACTTAAATCTTGGCTTCCTCATCTACTAGGTGCATGAATTAGGTCATCCCACATAACCACCCCTGGCCTTAGTAATGTGCTTATTATAGTGTCTGAAACAAAGCAAGCACTGCACTCAATATGGATTGATGTTAGTTGGTAGTATTTGTTATATAATCTTTAAATTTATAAATTTACACTAGGGTTCATTATATCTGCATGATTTAAAATAATTAATAGTGTTTATCTATTTGATTTTGGATTGATTGATCAACTAGCATTCTAAAACTCCATCACACTAGGTATTTCATCAGTGCCTTATATATAATTAATAAGCACTCAACAAATACTATGAAAAAGTGTCAGAGATCAAACTAATACATATCATATTCTTTATTGAATTAATGAAGAAATGAATAATGTCTTTATTATGCTATTGTGTTGAGTAATGACAAATGTATGTCTAGCATAGTGTCTGGCACATAGTAGATATTCAGTAATTTGATTCTTGTTTATTTATATTATACTGAGGCTGTTCAGATAGATAGAGGAGCATCCACAAAGATCAGGATAGAGAGAGTTTTTTTGTTTTTTGTTTTGCTTTGTTTTACCCAGAAAAGCCATTAGAGGAAAAAGTATCACAAGTTCATGGGTGAGACAAGAGGGAAAGTGTCAGCTCTGTCATTGGAGAGCTCCAAGTTGAGCTACACAGGCAAATTCAAGCACAAGGAGTTGTCCTGTGCTCTGGCTAGTCATGCCTTGGCACAGAGGAGCTCAGAGGAGTAAGATCAGAGGGGTAGAGCAAATTGGAAGAGAAGGAGAAACCAGATAATGGTGCAGGAAGGAGAAAACAGAGGGGATTACTGAAAGAGTTTGAGAGAGCAGGAAGAAATAGTTAGAATTTTAGGGAGCCTCAAAAACCAGTCCCAGATGAGAAGACATGGGCAGCCCTTCAGAAAGTTTTATGAGTCAGTTTTTATTGTAATAGTGATGGATCAGTATCAATCAGTTGTAACAGAAGTCTGCATAATGTGAGCCTGGTTGTTTATAGGGAACAACAAGATTTCCCAAGGTAATCGTTTCCTAATTAGCACAACTCAGTATTCAATATCATCTTTCCCTAAAAAGGCATAATATGTTTTTATATATGCATTCAAAAGAAATTTGAATTTGAGGGATAGACATATGCCTCCGGTCCTAGAGCACGTGAATACGATTTAACCTGTTGTGTGAACCTGGTTCTGCTAGAGCCTTAAGCAACCTTTCTCCTGGATCACTTTGAGAAATGTGTTCACAGTTTTGAATATAGATCAACACAGTTACCAAATTGCATAGAAGAGTTAACAATAAAACTAACATTAGAATCTTGACTTATTGGCTATACTTGTTCCCTTTTCTCCCAAGTCTAGCTCTTTCAATTTGTGCTGAGGGAGACTCTCTAAATTCCTTTTAAGTGATTCAGTCCTTGTGAGGCACTGAAGAACTGTCCTGCCAACTTCTTCCTAATGCCATAGCCCATCTCCAGAACCAGAATTCATCCCACTTCACCAAGTTGTCTGTCTCTCATACACAGCGCACACACACACACTTATACAAGCACACATATCTTCTTGTATATGTAGTATTCAAAAAGAAAAACAGATCCTTCTCTCTGAGGTCTGAAGAACTCTATTATCTCTCTCTTCTTCCTACTACACATTTTTTTGTTTCAGTATGCTAATAATTATTCATAGCAACAGGATGGCATTCAATTTTTTCTTATTATAAATATATTTATAAGGCAATTTCTGTATTGTAATTTCAATTATTCTCTTAACTTTTTCTCTCTAAACGAGATTCTAAATTACTAAAGAGTTGGAAATATAATTTGTCCCTTCCTTTGTGCCAGGACAAAACAAAACAGGACAGACTTTATGCACATTGATTTCAATGGAAGTGATTAATTCTATGAGAAGCATAAAGCCCAGGTTACAAACTCTGTAATCCAAGAGTTTGGATGACTATATATCTGTCAGTCACAAACTGTGTGACCTTAGGAAAATTACAAACCTTCTCTGTACATTATTTTTCCTCTATATAACTCTATATAATGTGTCTTAATGTTTAAAGGAATCAATGTGGCCACTATGTCAAGAACAGTGCAAAAAGATGGGGCACAAGGATGGTAACAAGGACACTGTTCAGAATGCTGTTGCAATGCTGGTGACTTAGACAGGGTGGTAGCCATGGAGACGGCAAAAGGTGATCTGATTCTGAGTATATATTTGAAGGTAGCACCAACAGGATTTTCTAGCTGACTGTTAGCGAGAGCAAGAGTCAAGGATACTTGAAAGGTTATTGGTTGGAACAACTGAAAGGTGGATTTGCCTTTTGTTTGCAAGACAAAGGAGACTGGGATAGCAGAGTGACATGTTTGTGGGGAAGGATGATGAACTCATTATCTCTAAGGTATGCTACAGGAACATTTTTGTAGGTTTGACTATATGAGTCTGAGATCCAGAGGAGGAGTCTAGACTAGAAACATGAATTTGGAACTTGTCAGTAAGTACATGGTATTGGAAATCATGCAAATAGGTGAAAATAGCAAGGAAATGAGAAAACATAGACAAGAACTCCAAAGTTAAGATGTTAAGGAGATAAGGAGAAACCAGTAAAGTGAGAAGAAAAGGTCTTGGGAGGGGAGTTAATTTTAAAATCCACGATGTTCAGAAACACAAGGGAAACGTTTCAAAGAAGAGGGGGTGATCAACTGTATCAAACACAAGAATCATTCAAATATGACTATAGGCAGGTAGGATGATGACTGAAAAATGAACATGGGATTCATTAATGCAGAGATCTTTGGTTATCCTGATGGGGGTGATTTCAACCTTTGAAGTAATATGGGCAAAATCTTGATTGTGGTAGTTCTCAGAGAGCAAGAGGAGAAAAAATGGTGTCAGCATGGACAACTCTTTTGAATATAAAGGTAACCATAAAAATGAGATGGTAAATAGAGGAATAACTGGGTACAAATGTTTTTTCTTGTTTTTACTATTTTTTTAAGATTGGAAATAACATACTATACATTAATGGGAATAAACCACCATGAAAGGAAAGGTTGATGGTACAGGAAAGAATACTGTCTTTGAATAGGTAAGAGAGAAAGGAATCTAGTGTTTTCATGGAAGAGCTGGACTTAGGTAGTAATTCCATCCATAGCAACAGGAGAGCAGGCGAAATACATTAACTAAGTGGGCTGATGCAGAGGTGAGAATTTGTGAGTATTCATTCTCAATGTTTCTATTTTTATCACTGAAATGGGAAGTAAAGTGTTCAAATAAACATGAGAGTAGAAAAGGTGTTGTGAAGTGAAATAATTTGAGCTCACCCAGGGAGTACAGTGTAGATTGAAAAGAGAAGACCAAGAATAAAAAATCCCTGGACATGTTAATAATGTTAAATCCCACAAAAAGATTTACAAAAGGAGGAAGGCTAATAAATATTCACTTTGGGCATTGGGAAGCCACTGCTGACCTTAGGGAGGGTGGTTTCCACAGAATGGAAGGGCAAACCAAGCTGATGGCAATAGTTAGAAAAATGAACGGAACCTGAGGAATTAGAGATAGAGAGTGTGGAGAAACATTTCTAAAACTGAAATGCTCAAAGATAGGATGTCCTTCAGGGAGAGAAGCAAGGATGAGAAAGGTTTTGTTTATTTATTTAATGGTGACAAGGGATGACAGGCACTGTACACCTGTGACGTGGCCTAACTCATAAGCCCGTTGACCCAGCCCTTGCAGCTGGTACAGAGTCTCCTGGGGCTGAATATGAAATGTGCACATTAGGCACATGTAAAACTCTGCCCAGTACAGCCCTACTGGACTCCGGACCCTAATGCTCAGGAGCAAGTGATGCCCTTTGCAACCAGGCCTGTGTAGCCCGTCCTGAGGGAGTTCAACAGCAAGATAACGTCTAGGGAATCACAAGAGTGGTGGCAATAACAGATGAGTTCCTTTGATTTTCTTCAGGAGT